CTCCTCTGTCTCTCCTATCCTCAACAATGCTGTCAATGCTATCTGCTGATTTCTACTCTAAATTCCTCTGTAGACATTGAGGGAAAGGGTTGAAAAGCAGCTCCTGACATCTGGAAATTCACCTCAGTTTTATACAAGCCCATCTGTGACATGTTCAATCGGACACAACAACCTCACAGAACATCAATATCAAACAGGTCTCTCTGAGAGCACAGCAAAGTAAGACAAAAATGAAATCGCTGTGAAATCCATAAAATCCCAAACCTCCCCTCTCTCTAAAAGGACTAACTGCTTCTACTTTAGCAATTACAGTTTTATCTCTGCTCTGGTTGACCCTCCCTACAGATACACCATTGAGACAATCAAAGAATTGTCCCCACTTTCTGATAGCATTCAATCTAGAGGGAAGCCCTGCTTCCTTTAGTCTCCCCCCACCCAAGTTACCCAACCAAAGCCCAGATCCTATTAATAGATTCTTACTAACCTGTTAGCGAGAGTGTACTCATTATGGTGGGACGAATAACAAATTCAACCTGTTCAAATACATGGATGTGTTTCTGATGAATTTTGGCCGGAGAACACTGACACCATTCTCATCTCTCGATTTCTGGTTGAATCTTATTCTTTATCACAACACTGTGGTTTTCTAGGTTCCAGGGTTCTTCTTCTCTATTCCTCTTCACTGCCAGAGATTGCCTCGTGAGCTGTCCACTGTCCAGCTCTGCTCTGACCAGTGTTTTCCAGCAATATTGACCACATGTTCTCATTTCCATGCCTTCTTTTCCCATCATGGGAGTTTATATGACCCTATTCTCTCATCATCTCTTCTCTGATACTTTCCCTCTTGCTCTCCGGCAGCATCAATCCCCAGTCACTCCCTACTAGGCTCCCAAAGCACATCACGGGGCTCTGAGGAGACAGAGGAGGAGAAGGCCAGACATGCAAATACATTTAGAGGTACATGCAAATCGAGCACTCCATTCTTATTCAATGTTTATTTCTGAAACCATGAAAAAAAAGGTAACCACATGTGATGAATATTATGTTAACTAGTGTAATTATAGTAATCTTTTTACAATATATGTGTAATCAAATCATCATGTTTTATACCTTCAACTTTACCCAATCTTATATGTCAATTATATTTCATCCAAGTTGGGGGAAAATGTTAACTGTGTCTAAAAATACCTTCACAGCAACATTTAAACTGGTGTTTCACCATGGGTACCATGGCCCAGCCAAGATGACACATAAAATTATTCATCACAGTTCCCCTCTGCAAATTTATTCATTACAGGGTGACATTTTTAGCCTCACCTTTTTCCTGAGATCACTGGTAAATTGATAAAACGTGATGAAGATTCCTCTCCCTCTAGGGAAGTAAGTGATGCTTATGTTTCTGATTAGTGTGGAAGGGCAGGAATGGGATTAATTAACATACTTATCTTTTGGGCAAAAGAGATTTGGGCAGACTGGAGGCCACCAAGGTAGACGTTGGTTTATTGGCAGGAATTTCTTATTAGCATTCATCACTAATTCAAGGCTTTCAATGAGCAGTACCTCACTGTCCAAATTAATTGGGAAACCATGGACTACATGACAAATTCATTTATTCTCTGCCTTTCAGTGTTTTCCCGAGCTGTCTGCATGGCTTTGAGCCAATTACTTAACTTTCTGTATCTCAGCTTTCTTATCTCCCCACCATGCCCCGACCCTGAAGCTTCAAAAACCCAGCTTTCAGGGATTCTTTAACCTGAACCTAATGTACCCATCGAAAATTTCCCCTCCCATTTTTTTAACTCTCTGTTTCTTACAACCTAGTTCCCAGCCTCTTCTTTGCAATTATCACACTAACTCCCACCAAGTTATCTTGGCTGATGTGGTCTTCTACAACTTGACTATTTCTTCATCTATCACATATACTTTTCAGATACAACCTGTAATATTTTTAATATACACAAATCATTTATAAATCAGTACTAAATTAATGGACCTCCTGTGTAATATGGCTAAATCATGTAGACATAGAGTTGACACAAGAGGTGCAAATGGCCAATAAATGTAAGACAATATGTTCAGCATCACTAAGTAAACAAAGAAATAAAAATAAATATTAAATGTAAATTTGACTTTCCGAATGGCCAAGGTTACAATGAATACAGATCCAGGGTACAATTTGGAAGACTCCTACAGGAGGCAATATTAGTTTCCCAGGGCTGCAGGGACCAAGTACCACAAGTCAGTTGGCTTTAAGTAACAGAAATTTCTTGTCTCACCATTATGGGGGTGAGATTCTGAAATCAAGGTGTCAGTAGGGCCACATTACCCCCGAAACCTGGAGGGGAGAATCCCTCTGTCAATCCTTGATGTTCTTGGCTTGTATCGGCATCGCTTCATCCTTTGCCTCACATGCCGTTCGCCCCACGTGTCTGCATTTTTCCCCTTTTAAGAACATCAGTCATGTTGGGGTAGAGCCCACCCTGATGACCTCATGTTTACTAATTGCATCTGCAAAGAGTTTTTTCCAGATCATTTCATAATCACAGGTACTGGGTGTTAGGACTTCAACATACCTTTTTAGGGGACATAATTCAACTCATACTAGTGGCCATAAAAGGGTGTAAGTCAAGACACTAACACATAACAACACAGATCAAAGGAGAAAAGGATCATTTCAGTGGAAGCAACGCAGACAGAGAACTGCAGGGACCAGATGACACATTCCACTTTATGACAAGATGCCACTACATACCTTCCAGAGGGTAGGTACAATTCAGAAAGGAAGGAAAAGGCTGAGCATCAAACTGGAAGTGAAACTGAGGTGATTTCAATGGACAAGATTAGGTTAGCTGACAGCAACAAGAAGTGGGGCCTGGAAAGTTAAATTCAATTCAAATATGTATATGTATAAATATTTGAAGATACATGTGTTCAAACTGCTTAGGTAATAAAAATCCATAGTTATTTAATAAGAGCCAAATGGAAATGTAGCATTTTATAAACAGGCAGGTCAGAGACCAATACAATCACTGTAAAGTGTTAAATTAAATCTTATGAAATTGCCAATATTTGACCATTTAATTTACAAAAATGACAACTTGATATGCATTAACCTGATATACATGGAAAAAGAACTTGCTAACCTTACTGAACAGAATCAGAGGCATTGATTTTACTGCCTGTATTTGTGGGAAAGGTCAGTACATGTTAAAAGGTGCAAACCTATATTCCATTGTTTTGCAATGTCTTACTCTCCTTACCTGGTTAACTAGAGCATGACAAGACTTTAGATTTGGGCTTGGAGGAAAATGGGAAGATTGTTTTGTTTATGTGTGTTTAGGCCTCAGCCTTGGGTCTGACCCAGCTTTTCCTGCTGAGTCCAGATTGGAGATTATGCACAGGAGTAATGGGGGATGACAAACGCCAAGGTTCTTTCCTTGGATCCTTACTGCTATCAAATAAATTCTCAGCTCAAGTTGGTAGCTTGTAAAGCCCCCTTCACTCCAGTCTCATTCCCCACCACTCCCATCCCTGCTGTGGCAGAGATGGGTGTTGACCTACACGGGTTAGTGTTTGTTTTCCAGAATATAGGGTTGTTCTGAGAAGTGATTGCCAGCCAGGAGCTGCATTGCTGCATTGCTAAAATGATACCATGGAACTATTTCTGGCCAGTGAAATGTCGCTGGGAATCACATGTGACACCTCAGCAAGAGCGGCCTAATACCATATGCTTTCTCTTCTCTAGTTTGCTGATTAGATGTCCCTTGAAGGCACAAAGTAAATCAAATTGAGGTGAGTCACCATTTGGAGGAAAGTCACTCTGAGAGTCACCCAGCCAAGAAAGTCTGCATTGGACTTGGCGTGAATAAGAAATGAGTAAGCTTTGTCTTTGTGGAGCCACAGTGATACGGGCTTGTCTGTTACAGTTGCACAACCTTGCCTACCTTAATTCCCCTTACATTTCAATATTCTGGGGGGGTTTTGAAGATTTACTCCTTTGTTTTAGAGAGAGGTGAAGGGAGGGAGAAAGAGAGGGAGAGAAACATTGATGTGAGAGAGAAACATAGGTCAGTTGCCTCTCTTATGCACCCCAACTTGGGACTGAATCTGGAATCCATGCCTGTGCCCTGACCAGGAGTCAAATTGGTGACCTTTCTCTTTGTGGGACGATGCCCAACCAACAGAGCCACAATAGTCAAGGCCACTTCAACATTCTGAATCCCCATCTGTTGCCTCAACTTATCAAGTGGTTTCACTTGGCCTGGCCTTGCAATTTCTGCTCTCTCTACCCAGAACACCTCCTTGCTTTTCTACTAATAAACCGCCAAGATCCAGATTAAGTGACATTTATTCTGAGTCCTCTTCTTTTTCCAAGCTGTTTGATGCTCCTTTTCTTATTTCTGCTGTGTCTTGTACCAAAGACTCTGTCCAATCCCACTGACATAGTTATCTTCCCCAAAGAATATTAGCTCTTCGGATGCAAGCACTCAATCTTATTCTTTATGTCCAGAGCACTAACATAGTGCTTTGTAGATGGTCATCTCTCAATACATGGCTTCCTCTAAGTGAATTCGGGTTGTGAGGGTTCTCCGATTACACCCTGTAGTCAGCTGACTGGGAGGAGGGACATGGTTGGTCTGAACAGAATCAGAGAGCCTGAGTCATTACAGGTCTGTCCTGGTGAAGCTGTGTTACTCTTGAAATCAGAAAGCAATTAAAAGGAATGCATGGAGTAAAGAAGTAGGCCCTTAGAACTTGTCTTTTGCTACTTACTGAAGGCTATAGGAAAATAAAGCTTTCTCATTTTCAGAATGTGTATTTTCAACAGTTGCAGACCATATTGAATAGGCACTTAGCTTGAAAGACAATGGAAACTTAGATACGCCTCTGAGTTCACCAGGGACTTTTCTGAGGTCCCTTGTTTCCCTGTAAAATTTGAAAATTGGTTTTTGAGAGGACCATAAGGGAGTGAAGAAAGCACGTTCAGATGAAATGGAGAGTGCTTTAATAGGAACGCTTTATTGTCCCCACCTGGGTTTCTAACAGAGTTCATAAAGTGAAAACACTGCTGTAATAAAAATGGAATACTATTGGTTACATGAAGTCCTATCTCCCCTCCTTCAAATCGACAGGAGGAAGGGTCCCTCATTCTTTGGGGCTGCTGACCAGGGCCGTGGTGGAGTAGGAGTAGGGGCTGAGCAGAGCAGCAATGGTGTAGTGGCGTGGACCAGAGTCATTCGCTGTGAACACCACCTGCAAGAGAACACAGACAAGGTGTGTTTCCAACCTCCTGACAACATGAGTCATGGACAGAGACACTGGAAGTCCCATGCCAAGGTCATTATTCTTATTTTATTATTTTGGTTTTGGAAACAGAGCAAAAGGCAGAAATCCAAAGCTGGCAAGCTAACTGCTGGAGCCTTGTGCAGTCCTTAGAACGAGAGTTCCCTCCGGCCTGCATGAGTAGGACTTTGGTTTCCCAGACTCGGGCTAGAAATCTGGTGCCCCTAGCCTGACTGAGGGAGATCGCAGAGAGCCTACATGCTCTTGTCCATTTTCTTGGTTTTAGAAAAAGGAGGGGAGAATGTAAAAACTGGCGTGCAATGACCCAAAATCTTGAGAATGGTTTCTGCCAATCCCACTGCAGGCTTAAGAGACCTAGAATGTTAGAGCTGAAAGGGAACATTCTTCTCATTTTACAGATAAGCAAACCAGAACTCTGAATTAGAGTGCTTGCTCCAAGTTCATCCAGGGACAGAACTAGACTACAAGTCATAGCTACTGTGTCCGAAGCCAGAGACCTTGCTCCCATTATTCCTTTGCATTTTCTATGACGAATATCAAGTGTATTTTAACATTCATCACAAGCAGTGAAATATGGGGTAAAAGCAATATAGGGTTCTATTTATGATTCAAGCAGAACGTGGAAGATCATGTTGGAATTCTGAAATATACTCACCACCTAGAGCTCATTTAAGCTTTCTAATTGGGCAAATAACCGATCAAAGTGTGTTCCCGTCAGTCACGTACTTCAGGCAAACTTAATAGAGCTTCCAGGACTCGGGGGTTGGGACAGTTAGGGGTCTGGACTGCGGCGAATAGGAAAAACTTTGGTTCATGAGATAGAGGAGAGCGAGGAGGTGTTTGATTCTATTTATTCGGAGTATAGGCCCTGGACTGAGGTTTGGACACACCCCAGTTAAATAAATTTTGTTCCAAATATGAAAAAAGAAAACCTTGATTACTTGGGGACGGGAGACAAAAAGATGTGACTGAACGATACCAAAACCAAAAATAGCATCAGGGCAAGAGGAGGTGAGAGTGACTTAAGAATCAGTCTGAAAGAGAAAGGGAATTTCTTAAAGGCCTAGTTTCTGGAATCAAATCAGGAAAACTTCTTACCCCTTAGAGTGGCATTGGCCTCCATGCCCATTTAACTCTTTGTGAAAATTGTAAATGGCATACTTTGTGCTCAAAATTCTATGAAATGAAGAGGACTAATAGCTCTGAAGTCAATTTCTAACCTTTGTAAGTCTAATATGGCCGATAAGTTGGGTCATGGGTCGAGGAGGAGGTGACTGATGCTGCAGGACAGCAATGTCGTGGGAGGTCCTGATTGGAAGAAGCGGTCAGGGAGGGAACTCGTAGCTGAACTCAGCGTGCACCCCCAACCACGGCAGCGGGGTTCGTGCATGACTGCTCGCCCTCTCTCACTCCCCACACCTATTCAGGGTCCCAGGTGGCTCATGGTCCTGCCTGATACATCCCAAAGGGAGAAATGTGTTTTCACTTTTGAATATCTAGCAGAGTGCTCAACAGATAGGTTTTCTTTTTAAAAAGATTTCATTTATTTATTTATTTTTGGAGAGAGGGAAGGGAGGGAGAAAGATGGGGAGAGAAATATCAGTGTGTGGTTGCCTCTTATGTACCCCGCACCGGGGACTTGACCCACAATCCAGACGTGTGTCCTGACTGGGAATTGAACTGGTGACCCTTTGGTTCATTGCAGGCCAGTACTCAATCCACTGAGCCATACCAGCCAGGAAAGGTTTTTATTTTTAAATGTTTGTTGAATGAATACTAAAAGAGTGAAGAAGAGTTTAACGAATAGGAACAACGTCATGGGTACTATGATATCTTCTCAGATCGTCTCATCAAGCTGAGATCTAGGGCAGACAAGAGTCACAGGGAGGCTGGTCAGTGTTCTAGGGTAGGGACTGAGACTCTGGGAGCACGTGTCTTGTGGTGGGTGCCATTTAAACCCTGAACCTGACCGTGGCTGGGCTCTAGGTGTTGCTGCCTGGCTGACAAGAAGCCAGAGACTTGCTTCTTGGTAGATTGGGCTATTTTGGTGACTTGTGGCCCCTACAGTTTCCCTGACTACGCTGTCTACTAAAAGAGCCATTTTATGCTTTGGAAGGTCTAATCCATGACTAAGCCAGAGAGAATGGTTCTCTTTCATGCTGAGCTATTTTTGATGCAATTAGTTGATCTTTAACTCTGAACAACACGTCTGGATTCTATTTCCATGACAGCCATCTGTTTTAAACGACTTAAGAAATCACAAAGAGGAGGCAGGAAGATCGGGCCCATGTATAACTTTGAGGTCCTTTGTAACTCACAGATAGAGGAATAGAGCATGCACTAAGGGTTAGAAATGTGTTATTATTATTATTAGGTTGGCTTCTCACAGGGAGAAAGCCGAGACACACCTGAGGCTAAATCCAGCCTGGGTCCTCTTGGTAAATATGCTATTTCTCCCCTCACTAGCCCTGTGACCTTTGACAAGTTAATTAACTTCCCCGAGACTCGTTTTCTCCATCTGTACAATAGGCATAAAGATCAGACTGACTCTGATGGGGTGTTTACAAAGATTAAATAGGTTAAATATAGAAAATACAGCAGTGTCAAGCAAGTGATATATGCTTGATAAATGTTATCTATTGTGTTGCCAGTGTTATTTTAAATTCACTGTCCCTATTAGCATTGCCCCAAAACACTTATCCAAACCTCTGGGCTCCAGATGTATTTGGAATGAAGACTTTTTCAGATTTTAGAGAAGTAAAATGCTCCATCCATCTTTTGTTACATACACCCTAAGTCGGTCTGGAGGGCTGCCTAATAACCCCACATTAACAGTTCTTCACATACAACAGTCGGATGAATGCAGACTATAAAGGGTGTCATGTAAGTTGAGGTCATGTAACTGAATGAGTGTTCACCAAACTTAGTGAGAAAGTTTGCTTTTCAGGGTTGCGTGGATTTCTGATTATGGAAATGAGAAAGAGAATTGTGCTAGAACCGTGCTAGTTTGATGACGTGTTTATGGTATGCATTTCCATAGTGTGCAAAGTACAAAATGTGCAGTCTCTTTCCTGAGATTAAAGACAACAGCCAAAAATTTAAAATGAAAAATAGCTTAGTGCCTATACACTCACCTCTACAGATTCATGGAACGGGGAAATGCCAAGTGCCTTCCAGTAGGATTTGGTGTCCAATTCCACTTTGTATATCCCTTCTACAAAGTTGTCTCTGGTTGTGAGCCCATGGAGCTCCCCAAAGTCACTGGTTTTCCTGAAAGATGAAAAAGTCCAGGTTAAGTAGGGCATTAAGGGCAGGTCGACACACACACACCCACACCCTGGCCAGTTGAGTATGTGAATGTATATTTTCTCAACCAGGTCAGGAGAGAGAAAATTCTACTAAATGCCTGAAATAACTGACAGGAAATTTGTCAGAAATGTTTCAAAAATCTCACTGAAGGTATTTTTCTCTTAGGAGAACAAGATAGAGGTATAATGTTTCACTTCAAAAACAGTCACCGGGTCCTGGCTGGGGTAGCTCAGTGGATTGAGCACCGGCCTGTCAAGCAAAGGGTCGCTGGTTCAATTCCCAGTCAGGGCACATGCCTGGGTTGCAGGCCAGGTCCCCAGTAGGGGACATGTGAGAGTCAACCACACATTGATGTTTTTCTCCCACTCTTTCTCCTTCCCTTCCCCTCTCTCTAAAAATAAATTTAAAATTCACCGGGATTCAGGCTTGGTGTTGGGTGAAGCTTCCTAACATCCTCTGAAAGTGGCCCTTGGAAGCAGCCCTCCGTCACTGGGGCTCCTGTTCTCGGTGACACCAGGGCCTCACTGGTGATGTGAGGGTACCTTTCAGAGGTGGCAGCAATTGTACACAGCGTGGGAACCCCAAAGTTCAATGAGAAACCCGTACCTGACTCTTCCATTGTTTATATATCTGATTTCTTTGGTAACTTTTTGCCTGTAACAAACACTAGACAACTCCTTTTAAGTTTGTTTTTTAATTAGGCAATTTCTATTTCCAGATAAATGCAAGCTCAAAAGCTGTGGTTTGAAAGTGCTCTCCATCAGACTCCAGAAACTTGGGTAAAAATGGTAACTTCTTCACTGACTCCGACCATTGCCCTTCCACCTTTCTTTTCTTCTGATGTACGAATTTTTAATTTCCTTTTTTATCTTATCATAAAAAAACTGATTCACACAGGCATCTGAATGTTTTTGGTGTCCATTCCCTCCCTTACTTAGAGTAGCTTCTTAACTACTTTCCACATTGCCCTTGGCATTTTTATAAATATAAATGAACTAAGAAATAAAAACTCAGCTGGAACCACACCAAAGAAAATGGTCTTGCCAACGAGGAGTGAAGGGGCATAATGTGGTCCTTGGGGTTTCATTAAAACCCACAGAAACGCTCCTTCCAGGACATAGAAACACTTAGCAGGATTTCGGTGGAGGGTTCCTTTTTTTCAAGTAGCTGGGTTAGGTCCACTAATTGGCATTTTCTTTGAAATTTGTGCCAGTGGAGGCGTAAAAACTCCCTGAAAAATGTAAAGGAGCTGATGAAGGTGAGAAGTCATTTTTGCCCCTGACATTGGGTGATTCTGAGATTGGTCTGTGGCCACGCTGTGTGTTACGTGTCCTTTTCTCCTGTGTCCTTTCTCATTGAGCAGGACAGCCCCAGCCTCGCAGAGTAGGTGTCCCACAAGGCTTTGCTGGATGAAGTCCCTGGATTCTGGGTCATCCTGATAAACTACTGACAGGTGCCTGGTCAACGCTGCCCCTCAGTTCCTTTCTTCATTAATAAATGAACAGAAATTGTATGTCTTCCCTAAAATTCCAAGACAATGACTCAGCTTGAGTGTTATATGACAAGTCACCCAGAAAAAAAGCCTCCTGAAATTCCCTATGCATTTTTATATGTGTGAGTATATATGTACTTTTCTGGGCAGGAAGTCCATAGTTTTCATCGCCCTCTTAATAGCTTCTCCTTTCCCCACTGTCTGCCTTAAATGCTGCTCAGGTTTCCCGTCACTCCCAGCTATGCAGACAAGAGGAGGGCATCCTTCTCAGGGCTCACTTGACCTTTGACCAAGTTTTCAATCTGTTTGTAGATTTTTAAGTGAATGATGTGAGCCCCCCCTTCAACACCTGGCAGGCAAATGGGAAGATGAAACAAAGACCCACATGTGGCTGAGTTGGGCAGCTTACCCGGAGGCGAACAGCTCCCAGGTCTCATCATTAGCCTTTTTGAACACTTTCACGGCCACGTCGACAGCAGGGCTGCCTCGGACGGCATCTAGGACCTTGACCATCAGAGGACATTTGGATTCACCAATGCCCTGGGCGTGGAGAGAGCAAGTGAGAAGTCAACAAACCTGGTCAGCATGAAACAATCCATTCTTCACGGTGTTAGAAATCTGGACCAAGGCAGGCAGTACACGCTAATCGCATTTCCAGCAACATAAGCGCTGGCAGTTAATGAGCTTCCCTCACTCAGTATAACACGGACGTGATTGTTTCTAATGCAAGAATGGTTTCTGCCTCCAGGCACACCGTGATCACCAGGGCCGTGTGCAATGAATGTAAGGGGGGAAATAGGCCTTCTGAGAACAGTTGCTTTGTTAAACCTCAACATTTAAGTGGAATTACTGAAAAGATGTCACGTGCCATCGAACCAAGTAGTTTTTCCTGCAAGTGTGTTAGTCAGTTGTTGCTGTGGTAAATCCCAGTTGCTGTGAATTAATGCCAGGTTACTTCCCGACACATTTTATAGCATTAGGTAATTCTTCTAGAGTACTTCGGAATCACATATCTGACTGCCAAGTGTTTCAGAGAGTAATCAATAAATACATTTTGATTAACTGAGGGAAAGTAAACTTTATAAAAGATGTGTTTCTAAAAATTCACTATTAATAGCTTCATCAATACCCTATCTATATGTCTACCACCCACCGGGGGAAATTGAGGCACCAGGCATTGCAACCCGAAGAACCAGAGCAGTGGAGGAGGGCACCCAGAATCCAAGCTCCAGTTCAGTGAGCTCTGCAGAACTTCATTCTCTTTAAGTTGGAATCAATAATGCTTAAAAATAGATGCTGGGTACCCTGATCCTAGTCGCAGAAGCTGACTGGCAAAGCTGGAGGAAGTCACTTGTACTTCATTTAGTGTCCACAGGAAATGGATGAAAGGGACTTCACAGACTCAAACACTCACCGCAGGGCCAGCCTCAGATGCAAGTACCAGTCCAGCGAGACAGAGGAGCAGCAGACGATGAGAAGCCATCCTGCCAAGAACCAGTGGGCCTCTATGACGTTTGCTCCAAACTTGGGGCTTTTATACTCACTTCTCGCAAGCCAGGCCGCTGATCCCTGCCAACCTGACTCCAAACCTGCTGATTCTGATTATTGACTTAGTCAACAAAAGGAGAATAAGTAACCCACTCAAATATGAACCTTGCCTAGAGAGATTAGAGCATAGCACATTAGCACTATGAAATATTCTTAACAGGTCATTTGACCAGCTGGAAGACCAAACCCAAAACAATCTAAAGAAAACAAAAATATTCTGCACTCTCCTTGGCTGAATGCAGTGACATTCTGGGCATTATTTTTCTCCTTTACCTATTTCTATGCACGTTTTTCCATTTACTATACATTTCATCTTTCATTTTAGATGATAGGTACATGCTGTAATAACTTGTTTCACATTGAATGATATTTGGCTGCGCAGGCTTAAATACAGTGCATTAGAAAACATCATTGCCCTTGGTATACATCCACAAGTCAGCAAGAAAAAAAAACTCTTGTCACTGTTTACATTTTTAAAAAAGTCAATGTATTAGCCAAAATAAGTTATTTGGAAGCTTTTTTAGTCAGCAATTTCTCCTCAATTTTGTTTTTCTTCCCAGACGAGGCCCACGTCAACCCTAAGAATAATGACACATTTCAAACTGGCACCGATGAACCCAAAATAGAGAGACCCGCATCCTCTTTACAGCTTCTCCTGCACTGGACGTGCAGGAGCAAGGTTACCCAGTTGGCTTCTGTCCGAATCGAAGTTTCTGGCAGGAAGTAGAGACGACAGTGAGAAGTAGCAGCCACAGTGGGCAGCAGATTCCCTCCTTCCTGGCCAACTTCAAAGCCCAGGAAGGGTAATGGTTTTATGATGCTGAGCCCAAGGACCAGCTCTTGTGTGTATGTGTATGTGCATGCACCTATGTGTCTTTGTTCACAGATTTGTTAAGACAGGTTTTGACCCCATAGAGACAAAAATGCAGAAGACACAGAGAAGATAGGCCAACATTTTGGACAAATACATGTTAAGGGTGAGTCCAGTTTGGAGCACTGGGAGTGAGAGAAGCATTTCTATGGCCAACAGAGTCAGGTTAAATAAACTCAGCCAGAGATCTTGAAGAAAAGGGAATGGGGGAAGGGACAGAAAGACACTCGGGAATATGGAGAAGTGCAGGAGAAGACCTGGGGAGAGTAGGTTGACTGCAGGGAAGCAACGAGCAAGGGCAGTTTCGAGCACAGTCAGACCTGGGATCTTACAGCCTTGGAGTCTGAGGTAGCACTGGAAAGCACTCTGAACTTGGTGGTAGATGACCCGAGTCATCCGGGTCCTAGTTCTGCTGCCCAGTTTCCCAGATGACCTTCTCTGAGTTATTTAATATTCAGATACTCAGTTTATTCACTTGTATGATAGAAACCACCTGACGTTTCCACTTAAAGAACTGTTCTAATAACTTTTTTAAAAGATTATTTATTTATTTACTTTTAGACAGAGGTGAAGGAAGGGAGAAAGGGAGTGAGAGAAGCACCAATGTGTGGTTGCCTCTCGTGCACCCTCTACTGAAGACCTGGCCCTCAACCCAGGCATGTGCCCTGACTGGGAATTGAACTAGAGACCCTTTGGTTCGCAGGCTGGTGCTCAATCTACTGAGCCACACCAGCCAGGGCTCTTTTAATAACTTTTAATATGATTTGATATAAAAACTCTTTGTAAATTGTAAACCACTTTTCTGGTGTAAAGTGTATGGTAATTATAATATAATTTGGTTCAACATCTCTGCTAAGGAAAAAGGCCTTTCTCTCACATCGCTCATATATTGTCTTTCAATATTCTCTCAACAATTTCCCATTGCTCAGAACTTGGATGGAAAGCCTATTTTCTGTATGAATTCCAAACACTTGCAAATTCTTTCCTCTCTCAAGTAAACCTTCCCTGCATGCATCGTAAGGTTACATTCTGGTGACACCTGGAAAGGTCGACATGAACTGGCATTCCCAGGCTACCAGCAGTTTACAGCTATGTTCTATTTGGTCTGTGGAATGTTTCTCTAAAGCTTTTGAAATAGTTGTTAAAATAAAAAATTGAAACACATTGCATAAACTTTTGGATTTCTGACTCCTCTTGGGAGATCAGAAGAGGTGGTGGGCGAGGCCCCCGTTCACACATGAGGATGATGGTGGATTTTCGTTCTCAGACCCGACGACTCTCAGACCTGACGACTCTCAGACTTGACAACTCTCAGACATGACGACTTGGCCTCGTTTGCAGCTCGGAGGCTGAGAGGCACATTTCCACTGGCACCATCGGGTTCAAGCGTTGTTTTCTGTTTTTTTTTAAGTTTAATGTCCTGTTTCTCCCAACTATGTCATGCCTGCCTGCTTGGAACTCTGGGTTTGCAGTTGCTGAGCTTCTTACAGCCACCGAAGCAGTGAATGACAGCTCATGTTTGTTTGTTTTTCTTGCCAAATAGACATTCTCACTTCTTTGAACAATTCCTCTTCTTTTATTTTTATTTTTTATTTTATTCACCTGCCTTCATCTGAGTCCTAAAATTTGCTGGGTTGTGAATTTCAGAGAGCAAGAGGCCCTGCAATCATTTATTTACCCTTTAAAAATATAATCAAAAAAATTTCTATTCCTTTATATCCCTCCCTGCTGACAATTAATAGTGTATTCCCTGTATCTATGTGTCTGTTTCTATTTTGTTTGTTTATTCTTTGGGTTTTTTTTATTCCACATATAAATGAAATCATACAGCATTTAAATGACCCTTCTGCAGGTATGGCTCCCAAAACCCTTACCACCCAGGACTTTCTCCTCACATGTGCCCACTGGGCAATATTTCTCTTCCAATGGGATGTTCTGAATGGGACACTGAGACATCCTTTGGCAAAGGGACTCTGCTGCCAGTGACACACCCTCCCCTGCTTGATCATAATTCTACCCTCTGTGACCTTGGTCACAGTGATATAAAGTCACCATATTATCAACCATCCTGTGCTTTTCTCATTTATAAATATTATTTATTTTTCAGCTTTCTTGCAGTACAATTGACAAGTGAAAATGTAAGATTTAATATATGCATGCAATGTGAAAGGATTCCCATCAACTAGCTAACTGAGACATTCAACTCCTTATATGTTTATCTTTGAGTGGTTAAGAATAGTTAAGCTCTACTCTCTTAGCAAGTTTCAATTACATAATACAGTATTATCAACTATAGTCATGTTTTACATTAGATCCCCAGGATTTATTTATCTCATAGCTGAAAGTTTGTACTCATTTTCAATCTCTTCCTACTTCCCCCACTTCTCAGTCCCTGGCAACCACTTTTCAACTTTCTGATTTTATGAATTTTTAAAATTTCTTTTAAAGATTCCATATATAAGTGATACCATGTAATAATTATTTTTCTCTCGGCATAATGCCCTCAAGGTCCATCCATGTTGTCACAAGTGGCAGGATTTCCTCCTTTTTATGGTCAAGTAGTATGGTATTCCACTATATATAATATATATATCACCTCTTAGTCATTCACCCATTTGTTGTTGGATACATAGGGTCCCCCCCCCATATCTTGGATACTGTAAATAATGCTGCAATGAACATGGGAGTGCAGATATTTCTTCAATATCTTGTTTTAATTTCCTTTGGGTAAATACCTAGAAGAGGGATTACTGGATCACATGGTAGTTCTGTTTGTAATTTTTTGAAAAATCTTCATACTGTTTCCATAATGTCTGCACCAATCAATATTTCCTCCAACAGTGCATGAGGACTCCCTTTTCCTCACATCCTCTTCAACACTTATTTCTTTTCTTTTTAACAATGGCCATTTTAATAAGAATAAAGTGATATCTCACTGTGGGTATTCATCACTGATGAACTTTAGCCTAAATACGGAATCCTCCTTTATGCCTGACGCATCTCGTCCTGTTGGTTCCACCTCACTACTCCGTCCTATCGACATCAGTTAACAGTTAATTCTGTAATGCCTTCCATTAGCATGCCTTCCAAGCCTCATGCGTTGGCTGCTTTGACTTGCTTGCCTTCTGAACTGTCATCGGTCTGGAGATCATGAATAAAATTTGAATTTGAACCAGACAAGAAGGTGAAGTGTGAGGCGACTCAGGGTACTGGGAGCATACTGAATCTGACTGTTGAATCACTAATAAACTTACAGAGCTAGAGATTCTTTTTCACCTAAAAAGAAGAGAAAATTTTGGCAGAGCAAAGGTAAGGGAGTCTTAGGGGAAGAAGCTGACAGTGTTTTAGGAGAGAGAAAAAGGCTGATGCAGGAAGGAAGAAGCAGAAAAGAGAGTGGGAATGGATTCCTGGTCAAAGGCGTGTTTGAATGGAACAAATGGCCCTCGCGAGTACAAGAAAGGTCTGATGTTTCCTGCCTGAGAGGCAATTTGTGATGAGAGCGGGTGATGTCGATAAACACTGACTCCCAAAGATAGGGGTTCGCCTTCTTGTGTTTATTTGAGTTTGTGAAATCTCTTTTAGATAGATGGCTACATGGGATCTGCCAGTGAAGGTCAAGGGTCACTGCATTCCTGGAGCCCCAAGTGGTTGCTGGGGAGACTGTTCTGGAGTGAATGTCAGCAGCAGTAAGGACCCAGTGTCACAAAACAAAAGGAGCATCGGGGAAACATTTGCACAATAAATTCATGCCCTTTCTTAGCCATGTACTTTCTTTACATTTTGACCATGAAACGATATAGCCTAGACGTTTAACTAAAAAAAAAAAAGACTAATTTGATAATGATGTTCCTTCTCCTACTACAGTATATGCAGTGACTAATGAATAACTCAGGTCCGTTCTTAGTTTAAAGTTCTGCTCTCTCCCTTATAATGGATAGGCCTATTTATTAATTTTTTAAATATCATAGATAAAAGATTTTTCTTTCATTTATTTTCTGAGGGTGCACACCAACTGCTAGCCCGTGATATGTTCACTTTGAAATGCCCACTAAAATTATTCTGAGTAAGCTGATTAGCCAGAGTACAGAGTTCGAGGGTCAAG